GAGTGACTGACATTATATCGCTGAAATATATGAAAGATTTGCAAAAATGTTTTCTACCTGGTCATACTTTGAGAAAAACCTCGTAAGATATGCTTATGAATAAAAAGCCTGAAAAAAATCACCTGAAGGACGAAAACCTTTGAGGCGACGTCGAATCTATTTAAAAATTTATACTTATGTATGTGGAAAAAAAGATTTCATTTCCCTTTTTATTATATATTCTCTTATTTTTTTAATATTATTAATTTTATTTTATATTATTAATTTCTTTTTTAGTTATTTTATTTCATTTCATTTTATTTTAATAATTTGGTTTTACTATTGTTTTATTTTATTTAATTTTCATTTATTTTTTTTTTTTATTTTATTTTATTTTATTTTATTTTATTTTATTTTATTTTATTTTATTTTATTTTGTTTTATTTTATTTTATTTTAATTTATTTTATTTTATTTTATTTTATTTTATTTTATTTTATAAAGTTTATTTCATTTTTTTGTATTAAAATTTATTTTTTTGGTTTTAGCTTACTATATTTTGCTTTATTTTTTTTATGATAGTTAATTTTTTTTATTTTATGATTCATTGTATTTTACTTTATTTTGTCTTATGTTATATTATTAAAAAAAATATTTTTAATTGTAAATATATATATATATATATAACTTATATATCCAACATGATTTTTCCACAGCCACTTAATTTGTAATTTTCAATTTATATCCGAATTCAATCAATTTATTTAATTCGGTTTTATCAGCGCCACACCGTGTTCATTACCACAAATATACTTCAAAAGCGCCCAAAATATATACTTTTCAGCTCATTAATATGTATTTTTAGTTTGAAGTTCCAGAGCACAGGAAAACCGCAAATTCTCTTTTTCCCCTCTCACTTTTGATGGTGTGCAAAAAACAACAAAAAAGGATTTATTGAAAAACGTGTTTAACGTTCATCGAACAAATACATGTGTGTATGTATGTTGGTTTTTATGCTTCTGACGCTTTCGACCATTCGTTGTCCTTCAAAGCGCACACACATGTTTGACCAACCTGCCTCCGCTGTCCGACGCCTGCCTTTCAGCGACTCATGCGTATCTCCTTGAACATTGCTCTGCCTCTATCCAGCCTGCTGATTCATCCTTTCACATTTGCTCATTATCAACAACATAAAGGCCATAAGAATTAGTGTTGCTGGTTGATAAGTATTTTTCGTGTTGTTTTTGTCGATGTTGATGTTTTTATTATTATTACATTTCGCAGTATTGTAAATTATGTGTATTGACCACACGATTTGTGGTCACCAAAACCACTACCGCCGCCACGTTCCCATCAATGGGTTCTTTCCTGTGGTTATTGTTGTTATTCTGCTATAAAAAAAAAAAACTTCCACATTTTCGCTATATTTTATTTTTATTTTGTCCTATTTTATGTATGCACAGGATTTTTTTCTCAACCCAAGCATTTCACACTCATTACAATAACAACAACAATAACAACAACAATAACATACACGTGCGTACTTTCATTGCCGAGGCGTGGAAGGTACTAGAATGCCCGCCGGTTGAAGCTCTTAAGGGACGTCGGATGAATTAAAGTTCTCGTTTTATGTGATTTAAAAACCTTTCATCTCGTGATGAATTTTTTTTCTTTTTGCCTGACATTGCCATTTGCTGACAGTACTTTCGAATTATTCATGGTTGGACAAACGTTGCTCATATCGACTGTCGCTATTTTATATTTATGGGTATTTTGAGTTGAGTTTGAGATTTTCCCCTAAACATATCCATGTAGAGATGTTGAGCGGAAGAAAAGCCGGATTATAATCGGATGCTAAATAATTAATATTAAAATCTAATTTAGCGGAAAGTCGAAGAGCCAAGGCAATTGTTGTTGGTTTCATATTGATAACCAGACTTCAGAAGACCCCCATTTTTCGCATGTTTCATTACTATGTATTTATACTCTTCAATGGAGACTAAAACAAGACTGTGATATATGTAATCAGCTAATAGAGATGAGCTTACTTAATCCCTGGAGATTCATTAAAAATCTCCCCTTGACACTTACTGCATCTCCATATCACCTCAATAAGATATGTAAGCTTTCACTGTCTATTTAGATGGAATAAAGGCCGACCTTCAGCTTATTGAAGCAAACACTTTTAAAGATCCTTGACCTTTTATTCCAATATTGATTATTTTAATAACTTCAAACATGAGCACACAAAGAGCCCAACAGGTGGCGCTAAAGTCTAAGCACATCCAATCCAAAATTACTAGACAAACCCATGACCCCTTTTGATAGCTCAGACTAGTTCAGAGGAGCAAAACTACTCAAATGCAACGAAGCTACGATGGGATGACTGATAGAATGGTTGCAATCTCCCATACCAACTAGCCGTGGTAGATCCCCAGTTTCTTCCGCATGCTGCATTGAGGTTGGAACCTTCAGATAGAACTATGTCCCTGCGACAGGCGAGAGAGTTTCTGAACTGAGCACAAAAAAGAGCGGAAATATGATAAGAAAAGATTAAATTCATAACTGTTGTCTAATTTTTGCTCCGATGCTTAATTTCTTACAGAGCCCAAACCCTTAGCAAAACTAAAAATGGGTTTTTCTTTATGTTATCGTATTTCCTTGTGTTACTCCTGTTGAGTCAAGTGTCAATAGATGTTTCAGAAACAAAACAGCTTTACATATTTATGAGCTGACGAAGCACTCCAAAGAAATGTAAAAATTTATACCCACAAATCGGCAGATATATTTACATACGTACGTAAGTATGTACCGCGTGGAAGAGCAGAAATGTTGTTAAGATGAAGCAACAACACTTACTTATGCGAATAAGAAATACGAATTCTGAGCATCGTAAGTCACTCAGCGTTGAAGGTGCTATCGAGTGCAGTTGAAAGGGTGATATTTTGCGTCTTTGCTGCCGTAAAATACCTTCTAACCGGATTTTACGTTGAAAAGATCAACAGGGGTAAATAAGATTTTATGGCTTCGTAAACAAGATTTGGTTTGTAGTTCGCGACTTGCCGGCCTCAAGCATAAAACTGTGACATGAATTTATTTCATATATTTTTTATTTAAAGTTTGAATAAAGGCGAACTCTTATGACTGCAATTAGCAGTCAGCAGCATTTCAAATTCAAGGAAGAAACTTAAAAAATGAGAAGTGTCTTAGGAAAAGCCTTTTTATTGGCCGAAGCCGAACCTGTCTAAAAGTACTAACGGGTGGGCTAACTTTCCATCCCTAGAGACTGAAAAGAGCTGAAAGCAAGAGATTTATTCCGAAATATACAAACAAAATAGGTGAGCTGCTTTTTCTCCTGTGGTTGGAATATATTCATTTCTAAGCCTAGATCAAATATTTCCTTAAAACCACTCAAACTATAGTCTTAATAAGCTTAATTTGTTACCTGAAGTAGAGATGACATTGGCATAACTTAATTATATTTATTTTATATTACTTCATTTTTTTATTTTAATTTATTTAATTCTTCTTTTTTTCATTTTATTTTAAATTACTTTATTTTATTTCTTTAAATTTTTTTTATTTGATTTAATATTTCCAATAAACTAATTTTATTTTATCTTATTTTGTTTAATTTAATTAAATACTATCTAATTTTATTTTTTAAGCTTTTTTTGATTTATTTAATTTATCTTTATTTTATTCAATATTTTATTTGAATAATTACATCACTTTATATTGTATTATTTATTTTAATATAATCTTATTTTATTAGTAACTAATTTCATTATTTTTTTTTTTCATTTTATTTATTTTATTATATTTTATTTTATTTTATTTTATTTTATTTTATTTTATTTTATTTTATTTTATTTTATTTTATTTTATTTTATTTTATTTTATTTTATTTTATTTTATTTTATTTTATATTATTGTATTTTATTTTATTTTATATTATTTTATTTTATTTTATTTAATTTTATTTTATTTTATTTTATTTTATTTTATTTTATTTTTTATTTTATTTTATTTTATTTTATTTTATTTACTGTTATTTTACAGACTGTCCTCTACCATGTTCTCACTTTGCAAGCATGAATTTCGCTTGACTTTCACTCTCAACTGAGATAGATCCATTCATACACTCAGAATAGGTTCCGCAGTGATTTATGTTTATTTTTCATTTGTATCTGATAAGTTTTGTTTTCCTTCTTGCTTTAGAGCATAACAGCCACAATATATTCCGAATTGTGCTTTACTTAATAGTATGCATGTGTGTACATCCTTTTTTATTCATCTTTTCCCAAAGATCTGTTACTTTTTATAACAAACTTGTATTGTTTTAGATTTTGGGATATTTTTTCTTACCATGCACAACAAACTAGAACATTTTATGAGTATTTCTACTCTTGAAGCTAATATATATATGTGTGTATTAGGGTGTTAGTTATTCACACACACTTGTAAACAGAGTTGCTCCAAAAGCGAGTTTTACATTTTTACTTCCGTACTTTTTATTGCTGCTCTCTTGTAGAATTTGCTAGAGCAATTCTCAGCTATAATTTTCGTAGAAGTCATTGATCAGGGATGATAATGCTGAAGAGAATAGCATGAACGATGTGCGATGTCCACAGGACTGCGTTAGTTACTAAGTAGCCAACTTTACAATCTTTTGAGCACTTTATTAGGAGGAAATATATGTTATAAATCACTGACTTATATAAATAATATTTTTTCTGTGTGGACCAGATAAAACTTTTTATCAAATTTGCTCAAGGCGACTGTTTGAAAAAAAATAAAAAATATCTTTTTCGTAATAATCAGTAAATATTCTGAAGTAAATACCCTAATGAGCACAAAAATGCCTGTATATATAATTTTTGTATCGAATATTTTTGTTGTAATTTTTGTCAATTTTTTTTTTCTCTTTATTTTTATTTATTCTTTCTATTTTTCTTTTTCTTTTTTCTTCCTACCGCACATCAAATGAGAAATAACTTAAGCTTACGCATACACACTTACATGCAACCCTTAGGAACCGTCATATTCATGCCATCCAAAATAACATTCGGATTTTTGCTATTTCCATACATTTTATGCGCTCGACGTACGCATACCGCCTGTTGTCGCCGCGAGGCCAATGTCGATGGCTGTGCTTTGAATTGGCGACGTCGTTTCGCTAAATCCGTTTCGATGCTTGTCACCTCAACAACGGTGTTGTTGGGTGGTACACTTTGCGTTTCAGCATCCATGTTTCTAATAATGTTTGTTGTCGTTGTAATTGTAGTTGTAGCTGAAATATAGCGCTGATTGTTGATGTATTTGTTGTGTTTTGGGTTTTCTCGATTTTCCTTCGCAAATGCTTTTTTTTGGTCTTTTGTTTTTTTTTTTGTTCTTTTTTTTTGTTTTTTTTTTTTTGGGTTTTTATCCGCTCAACGTATTTTTGCTGTTGTTTATACTTCAAGTGTCGCGCTGTGTAGGATGTGCTGTGTGGCGCACGGACCGATGTGCGTCGTGTCGTATGAGTAACACAGACAATACAAATGTGTATGTATGTACGACCACGCGCAATTTCTTGCTGACGGTTGTTATTCCCTTTTCTCTACTCTGAGCGTATACAATCGTTGTTTGTGCTTGTTGGTGTCAACAGCCACCAGCAGCAGCAGCAGCAGCGTTCAATACTCCTCAACTGCGACCTTCGTATCTAGTGCGCGTCGCAAGCGTTCGTCTGGAATGGCTATTCCTTCTATTTTAAACCTTTTTTATAGCTTTCAATGCAAGTGCGTAAGCGTGTGTGTGTATTCGTGACTGCGTGTGCCGTATTATGGTGCATGCACATTCATATATATCATTTATGTGAGTATGTATGTATGTCGTGTATATCACTTGCTTTGCATGTCCTACGTCCAACTCTTCCCTTTGCCACTTCAATGTCAGCCACTGCGTTTACCGGCCGCTACTACTTACTTCTGTCGCAAGCTTCGAAGTATATTTATATAAATATATATATATATATTCGTTGTTCGTATGTAAGTTGTGTGTAACTTGTATCTTGTAACTCGTAGTTATCGTACTTTTACCGCTTCGTTATTGTCGTCGCCTTTGCCTTCGTTTGCTATTTTTACTGTTACGCCAATGTTTATGCCACTCGTACAAAAACAATGAGCATGACAATGTAGCAACTGCAGCTATTCGCCAGAGTCTCTGGGTTTTTGGTTTTTTGGTTTTTATTATTATTTTTCCTTTTTTTTTTTTTGGTTGCCTTACAACGCTCCCACTGCGTATAGTTTGTAATAATTCTTTTTGCTGCTCTGTGTGTCCCGCAATGGTTGCAACGTCCTTACGCTTCAGCTACTATGTTATACTGCACATTCATTCAGCAGCAGCAGCGTCGGCTGTTTTTGTCTTGTACTCTTGCTGTTTTAGTGCTCTCTGGCACTCGCTTCGCTATATCTGCTACACATACACACTCTTTGGTTCTGCTTCTTTTCCTTCTACTCCTTCGATTGTACTCATTCGCTTGTAGCGTTTCACAGACTATGCTACTTTTCCTTATATATATCAATGCTATTTCTTTGCTACTGTTGTTTTTGTTGCTGTTGCTACCGCCCGCCGCGCTGCGTTTATTGTCTCGTCAAGTGTTACAACTGATGTTAAGCAGACCAATTCAGTTCGACGTTGGCGCACGGTGATAGTTGTCGCAATAGCAATGGCGTATTGCTGTTGTAATGTTGTTGTATAGTATGAAGAAAAATAGTTGAATGTTGTAGCTATCGTAGCAATAGTTTAGTAGGGTACTCGTACTCTTGTGTTTGTGTATGTGTGTGAGTGTTCGTTTGCCTCGTTTTCCTTAGGGCGATTATATCTTGACTTGTATCTCTACTGATTTATATATGCGCGTATGCATATACAAATGTATGTGCGTAGGGAACAATGTCTTTATAGACTTATGCACAAACATCAACACATATATATGTGTATATCATATATGTCTTTAGGTATATGGCTCGTCGTTCTGACTTGCCACCTTCGTCGTACGCCCACTGGCTGTTCATACAATTTTAATAGAATGCTCGCCTTCCCTTCGGCGGTTGCCTTCTGTTTTGGCTATTATGCTGAGTGCTGTTGTTGCTTTAGTTGCTATGATTGTCGCCAGCAGCTCTTTGCATCTACTGTTCCAACTCTCTTTCAATTCTTTCTAACAGCACTTGGCTTGTCGCTCTTCGTTGCCAATGTTTTTCTGTCTGCAATGAAATCGAAAAGGAAATCACATTAAATACACATACATACACATATTCATGTTATTGGTAGATATTGGAATTGTGCTATAAACTCATATGCATATATGTATGTAGTATATAAAGTAAAGTAAAATAAAGTAAAGTGAGGTAAAGCAAAGATGATGAAGATGATGAGTGAGTACATGTTTTAGTGTTCATAAAAATTAAGCTATTATTGAAAGTTGCGGCGACGCGTGTTGATAACGATGCCATTGTTATGCACACGCATACACACATGCACACATGCACACGTATGATATGCGCCATTCGAATAGCGCTCTATTCAAAACATTTATTGATTGTTGGCTACATTACAAATGTGGAATTTACTTATTTATGAAGTTTGGTGTACACAGTGAGAATTGGGGAATATTTTTTTAAATGCTTCAGCAGCCCATTTCGTAGAGAAATATGAAATGTTGCAGGTGAATTTGATATTTAATAATGAACTCAATAAAAAAAGCTGTTGATTTTCAACACAAAATCATTCTGAGGCTTTACTTTTTATAACAAAAATAGTTTAAAAAAAATTTACATTGTAAATATAAAAATAAAATTTTCAGGCAATAAAACAATAATTTTGATCGACAAATGCAAAACTTATAAGAAAATTCGCTTAATAAGTAACCATTTAATGCACTTGCCATTTTGAATAGTTTAGAAATATTTAATAAGTGTATTGAATTTTTCATCTCTTTTCGTTTTTCGAATGCAGAATAAAATTTAAGTTGCTGCGACCCTTTCAAATACATCGTTTTTTTTTTTTAATTTTAATACCGTCAAAAAAAACACAGTTCGACTCCAGTTGCGTAATTGTAATAGTTTCGGAGTAATTTAAATACGGGGTTTTTTCAAATTTTACTGTCATTGTAACCCAGAAACAAATCCTGCGATAGACTAGAAACTTTTTTTTTTATCGTATTCAGCATTATTTCACGCATAAAGTGTCCCCGGATATTTCGATCCGATAAAAATTGTAAATTTTTTCATGCGAAATACTGTCAGACTTTTATGCTGAATTTAAACTTTTTCTCAAGACGACGCCATGTTTTTTTTTTTCAATAAATTTTTTTTCCCACAATCGCTGGTCGTTTTATAGCTCACATAGTCTTTTTTAACGTCTTTTTTTTTTTGTTCTTTTTCATTTCAGGTACCCTAAAGGCAGACGGCAACACCTCCCACCTCCACGGGAAAGCACAGATCTCGTCAAGAATGCAAGATTCCAGTTTGAAAAAAAAAATTGACTGTAAAACTTTCGATGCAGAAGTTTTCTTTAAAACAAAAATACTCAAAAATTTGCTGTCACGTGGATGGCGTCCATTCTTTTATATAATCTAGCAGGCCCTATCACACGTTATTGTGCATTTTTGTATTTTGTCCAAAATGTGTTAATGTCAATATGAATGCCCTCGCAGTAAGCCAGAGCCATTCGCATATATGAATTTTCACACTCAAATTGAATAAGAAATATATCATTATTTTTAAATCTATCCATAATTCTTTTGCGGCAAAGAAAGTATTCCGGGTTGTTAAAGAAACCCAGACAGAATTGCTTAATTATCGAGATTGAAAATCAAAATCTGTTAGCATTAGTGTTATGAAACCCAAACAATTTTGCTTTTTTCGAAAAAATGCAAAACCGATATTCGAATCAGCTGTGCACAGTTGTGCAAAAAATACAGAAATTTAATTTAATTTTTGTGATTATTGACTAAAAATAAAGTTTTCGGCAGTGATAGCTCTTCTTTTATATATATATATATATATATATTTTTTTTCTTTTCTTTTGGTGAGAGAAGGATTTGGAGAAATCAGCCAAAAAAATAAAGTATAAAATATTAAGTGAGCTGGAGGTACCAGAGCCGATAATTATTTGTGGAATATGAATTCTACTTTTACATTTGTTGATACAAAATTTGTTCGTATGTATATTAATAGGCCAATATTGGCTTAACAAAGAAGCCTTTGAAATAGTGTTGGTTGTCATTGAAGACAAGTTATGTAAAGATAAAAAGATTTAGATAGGCTGTCCATCCCACCTGTGCTCCAACTTGCAAAGGTACTACGTTTTTGGCAGAAGACTCCTATCAACGGTATGTGCGTAATGCCTGAAATATCAGCTTAGCGTGAACTGTAGCTAAAAGAGCTAAAAGCTTTTGAACGTTTGATTTGCCCACGCTGGATAAAGTCAGGTATGAACGACAATGAAAAGCGGAGAGTTCGTGACCATTTTTACACCAATATACCGAGGTGGTTGGTGATTGTAAAATCCATTATTTATGACTTATATTTTTATGGAATTTCCCCTTGTAGAGAAGTTTGCACACAATTCTGTCAAAGGAGAGCTGCTCGGTTCAATTCTGACATTTAAACCGATAAATCGGTTTCTATAACACCTAAAAGCGACATAAATTCTTTCTCAAATTTACTAATCAATAATCGGAATGTGTAACCCCTTCAACAGAATTTTGTTGCTTTCAATGCTAATTATAGCAACAAACTGTTTCTGTAACTTCCCTGATTATTTATGTTTCAAGCAAATCGAATATGTTTCTTGTTATTTTCCAGAAAAAAAAAAAATATTTAATAGCATAACATCCAAAAACTTAACCAACCCGAACTATAAATGTATTTACTTTTTATTATAGCTCGGGCCACTTCTCGATTTTTTCGAATGTCAGTCCCTGATTCACTTCGCCGAGAGAAGGGTAGCCTTTTGGCTAATCTGAAAAAAAATTGTTTTTTTTTTTACATCTCCCGGAAAGAGATGAGTAAAAAGTTCAAAAAAGACATATCGGTTGCAGCTATTCTCGGGTTATATACGTAAATACATATCGTAATTCATTTCTATATGTTTAATTTTTTCTCCTTCTTTCTGTGGCATAGCGATTACTTCGCTTTTGAGTCAGTTGTTTTACCAATTTTTTTTATTTTTGTTGCCAGCTAGCACAGAGCCAATATGAAAAAATTTAAATCTATATGTCCAAATCCGCTCAATGGGCATTTTTTTTGTTTCATTTGTATATATGTCATATTTGAATCTGCTTCGCCATCGGAAATCTCATCAGAAATAATAAACTCTTATACCTAAACTAGAATATGAAGCCCCTAATAAAGGGCATGGTTTGCTTGGCTGACTCTTTAGCAGCCTGAAGTATCTTCTTTGTTTTCGAGAGTGTTTGACTTGTTAGAGGGAAGTTTTTGAATAAAAAATTATATAAGTATAAAAATCTATGTAAATGTCTCTACGACTAGTATCAGTTCCTTAATGGTTGTAATGAAATAAAACATATCAAATTGCAGACATTGAAAAGTTGGATGCAAAAATATTTTTCACCAGTGTTGCCATATGTTTCAATATTTTAATTTAAAAAAAAATTACACCAAATACATTATGCATTACTACAATATATGGGTATCGGCGTAAAATATTAGTAAAGCTTATTGCTGGAGCGTTGTCATTTGTTGGGAAGTTCTAAAAAAAAATGTAAATTAAATTAAATAATTTATTGGGAGCATTAAATCAAAGGTAATTGTGAAGCTGTAGAGGTAAAAATCTTTTTGAGGTATGCCACTGTTTCTAAAATTGTAAATGCTATCAAATTGTTAACACAATAAATTATACAATATGGACATAATCAAGCTCAAGATATACAAGAAAAGCTGAAAGTGAAAATATTTTTCCATTTGAAAGCTTTAATTAGAAATATTTTTAACCCATTCACAAACATTTGCAACGGAAGAGGCGGCGAATGAACAGTTGTTGTTGTTGTTGTTGTTGTTGTTGTTGTTGTTGTTGCTGTTGTTGTTGCTGTTGTTTTTATTGTTGTTGTAGACCATGTTGTTGTTGTAGTTTTGCTACGGTTGTTTTCTGTTGTTGTTGTTGTTGTTGTTGTTGTTGTTGTGTTTGATGTTGTTGTGTTTGATGTTGTTGTTGTTGTAACCACAATAATACTCCCCAAAGTACTTTATGGGAAATGTTGCCGGAGTGACAGCCCTTGGTCTCATAAAAACCCGAGTCGTTTCGGTGTAAAGAAACGACTGTCGCGGGAACTATTGGATTTCCGTCACCTCTTACGACAGGCATGCCTTACCGCGGGTAAATTCTTGAACCTCTAACCCGCAGTGGGCTGCGCGACCAGTAATTTCTACAGCCCTTGGGTAGGCCAGATTTCTAGTCCAGGTTCGGCCCACATCTAAAGTTGTTTGTTGTAAAAAAAAAGTTTAAGTTTATTTTTTTTTTTTTTTTTTGTTCTTTTCTTAATAACTATCGCCCGTCGGCAAAGAATGTTAACCACTCCGAGATATTTCAAACACGAAATCATGGCTTCTCATTAAAATCAATCGGTCATTCGGAGGCGGCTCAGTATGAACTGTAGATCCCTGCATTTGTTGGTAATATGTCTAACCACAAATTTGAGGCGGAGCTCGGTCGGAAATGGCGGTTACAAAAAAAAATAATAAAAATTTTCCGCGTTTGTATTTTTCTCAAATAAATTGCACTTTTCCTTCAACTTATCTGTGATTTTATGAAAGCGACATTTTTATATTTTCCGACTCAGCTGGATATGTTTGAATGTTTCTAACTGAAAATAAATGCAACTAACAGCATACATACCTATCTATGTATATGACATAACTTGAAATAAGATTTAATTATAAAAAGTTTTTCAATTTTATACCGGAAATACGAAACTAGCACCACCTCTTAGCAGCTTCTTACTACCGAGTGCCGAGTGTGCGCTGTGTAGTGATGCATGTGCGATTGAACAAAAGAACAAAAGCAGACTGGCGAAAACACACACGCTGACAATTTGACATTTATGCTGTTAACGCACTGCCGAATCCAAAAAAAGTCTCTCTAAGCACATACATATGTAGAGTACATACATACATATGTATGTAACAAATTTTCATATTTATTTCTCAGAACGAATCTGAATTCTATAACTATATCAACGCGC